AAGGTAGCATTAGCGAGCCATTACTAATATGCTTCCACAATTTTGAGGTAAAAGAATTCTTTGATAATTTTTTTCCTATGTACTAATATAAAGTTCTTAATTCATCAGATATTTGGCATCGATAATGAAGGTAATGAGGATCTCCGCTTGTTATCTGCTTTTCAAGTGCAAATTGAGGAACTATTCACACACGATCGCAAGCATCCAATTGTTATCGTAGCCCTAACCAATGAAAAATTTCTCAAACCAATGATACAACGACTTTTTTTGGAGGTCATAAAATTGGAAATGCCAACCAATGAAGACCGTTACAGAATACTATGTTGGTTACACTCACGCGAAGTCGTCAACGATAAAATTTTCAATCAAAAAGCGATTGCAACTTTACCCCTTTTTAGTTTAGACCAAAGCGATCGTTATATGCCGAAAATCTCCCCAAAATGGTCGCAAGCGAAATCCGTTTTGCGAGATGTTGCAGAGAAATCACAGGGCTTCTTACTGGGCGATTTGCAAATGCTATATGAGAACGCAGTCCGTGCAATGCGTAACAGCCGAGAGATTAAATCCAGTTCCTGCCTCAAATTTACACACTTTTCTAAACACCTTAGCAATATGCAATCTTTGTTTGCCGATAGTCTTGGGGCGCCGAAAGTGCCGAAAGTGCTTTGGTCTGATATAGGTGGTCTTTCCAAACTCAAAGATGAAATTCAGAGTAGTATCGGTCTGCCATTGAATCACATGCATTTAATTGGTAAAAATTTAAGACGTTCAGGAATACTACTTTACGGTCCACCAGGAACTGGGAAGACTCTGGTAGCAAAGGCTGTAGCCACGGAGTGCAATTTAAGTTTCCTATCGGTTCAAGGACCAGAACTATTGAATATGTATGTTGGCCAGAGTGAGCAAAACGTACGCGAGGTCTTTGCACGCGCACGTTCAGCAGCGCCCTGTGTACTTTTCTTAGATGAATTGGATTCTTTAGCGCCGAATAGAGGTGTTGCTGGCGATTCTGGCGGTGTAATGGACAGAGTAGTATCGCAATTACTTGCTGAAATGGATGTCTTAGGCGATGCAACGAAACCAGTCTTTATCTTGGCTGCTACTAATCGACCTGATCTTATTGATCCAGCATTACTGAGGCCTGGTCGTTTCGATAAGCTCTTTTATGTAGGTCCATGTGCGACGACCGATGATAAAGCATCGGTTTTAAGAGCGCAGACACAGCGCTTCCATTTAGCTAAAGATCTAGACTTGAATGACATTGCTGCACAACTTAAGGGAGATATGTCTGGCGCTGATTTGTATTCGATATGCTCGAACGCTTGGTTATCGGCAGTAAGACGTACAGTTGATAAGCATCTTAAAGGTAAATACATACTGATATAAACATAAATTATTTATGTACGCACATGTGTCTTTTTATGCATACAGATAATACCGGTAATGAGCAGCTAGTAGCGGATAACGTGCTGGTCGAGATGCAGGACTTCACAAAGTCTTTCAGCAAGTTCGTACCATCGATCAGTAAAAATGATTTGGAATACTTTAATCAATTGAAATCGTCTTACGGTGTTTAGCCACTGTTATGTTTAGACATTGGATAACAAAATAATACACAGATGAACAATTTCAATCTAACTCTTTTTAAGAAAAATGTTAAGTAACAGTTTGTTAATGATAAAAGTTATATATAAAAATTCTTCAGCTTCTTTGAGATCTAGACTATTTATTGTAACTAGCTTATCATACGTTGAACTGTGGTGTTTAGTGATTCCCCATTTTAATTGGTTTCATGAGGTGAACACAAACACACGTGCACTTACATACACATACATACATACATGTGTACTGCAGATGATTACATTTTAATGATAAAAAGCCTACCTATCACGCCTATGTAAATACTTCTAACATTACATATCGTCGTTTAAAGTACAAAACCGCTTATCGTCATTCTGCGAAACCGCGTAACTGACATTTGCTGCCAAAAAGTGGAATTGCTCACACAAGCTCTTGGCTCAATCCTTATCCACTCGTCCTGAAATATACTAGCCAGAAATGCGTTTGCTTCATAAAAAAAAAAAAAAAACTATTTTGAAATATGAGTGTTTTTACTCTCTAAAAAATAATTTATGCAGCCTCACATATGCGGTTTTGCATTTTGTTGATACGCGGTTTTGTACTTTAAACGACGCAATGTATGTACATTAGACTGCATCACTCCCCATACAAAAAAAATCGGTACTGTATTTCCATTGGAATTATAAAAGGAGTATTCACTATGCAACTGCCAGTAAGAATTAGCCAGTAACAAAATTCAGAGAATAAGGTACCTTACTCTCCCAAAGAGAGAAACTTGCTAAGTTTTGCGCAAACATTTGCATGCTTCACTTTCGAGCATAATAATTTTTTTTAATTATTTCAGGTAGAAACCAAAACAGGACCTATACGTATATTTCTTCTTATTCTGACTTTCTTCAACATACGCTTCAATTTCTTTGTGGAAGTCACTGCCGGATTTCCTATATCGACAGTGGTGTCGAGTGCGTTCCGATTACGAATACAGCTTTTTCAGCCCAGTGCCTTTCAAATGTTTGGAATTAATTAAATTAATTGAATAAACGAATATTTACCTACTTCTTTCATTAGTAAATCGCAACAAGATTGTTCATTTTTAAATTTAAAGAAACTTGTTACACAATGTTCTGACCGACAACGAAAACACCTTGAAAACGAGTTTTGGGATTGTGGGCTGAAGGCTGTTCACACCGGCTGTTGGTGTTTTCGTTGACATTTCTTACATTCTTTGTTTACAGTTTTGCTGCCCAAATACAAAACCAAAATACATTTCCTTCAATTTCTTTTCATTAACAACCTTTTACTTCCATGCTTATTATATTTTGGTCAGCCAATTAACAATAAATCCGAAATGGCGTATTAAAAATGATATAATATGACTTCCACTTCGAAAAAAACTAGTGAAGACACCGATTGGAATGAGTGGAACGTGAGTTTTCAAGTGGTTTTCAGCGAAAAATTGTTTTCGTTTGACAGATTTTACATTGACGAAAACACAAGTTTTAGGTTGAAAACCAGTTTTAGCAACGAAAACATGTTTTTGATGTCGGTCAGAACATGGTATTACATCCCGAGCTAATAAGAGGAAGGTAAAAATGCAACCATGTGCCACAATCCTGCTTGCAAATTCTTACTGGCAAAAATTTTCTCAGCACGTATTTGCAACTCCCCCTCCTAAATGAAATGTTAAAATTGTGCTCTCTCCTTGCAAGTTTTACTGGGTTTTTGGCTAAACGAACACGATTTGGTAACAATTGGTACCAACTTGTACAAATTTTGTGCATAGCGGACACTCCTAAAATCTATTATATTTTAAGACGTTCATCAAAATATTTCGGAAAAAATATCAAGATTTACGTGAGCTGAACCGATTTGAAAACACCTCCAAAAATGGAGTTTTTCATACGTAAAAATAGTTTCTTAAAAGTTTTTTTTTTAAACCCCTCAAATGACAAAACTATTTAAGCTTAAAATATTTGCATAAAAATATTTAGAGAAAATTAAAAAAAAAATTTGAACGGAATCGTAATGAGATTGTGTATGCTGTTTTTTAATCTTTTTTTCAGAGATTGGTATAAGAAAAGCTTGAATAAGGTCAGTGTTATGCAGAAATTTTGTTTGGCAAACTGCATGCAATTGTTGTTGCGACAAACTCGGGGAAACGGAGTTTGGCGACTCTCACAGCAAACTAATTTTGTTTGGCCAAACTGCAGCAAATTCGGTGTTGTCATATACAAAAATTTTAAACAATTGCTGCTATACACAAAATTTGCCGTGATACCAAAAGCCAGAGAACTGAATTTATGCTGCAGGAGCTTCAAAAATTAGGGCACAGGTAATTGCCTATACGATATCATAAAAAATATATTAATTGTGCACGTTATTTACATCTGAAATTCTCATTTCGTGTTGGCAATAGTCATGAAAAAGATACGAGCGAATGCCAAAAAACAGGTGATCTCAGCTGTAGGCATTTTTTGGCAAATAGCTGATAGTGTTTCTACTTAGGAAACTGTACGATGACCTAAACTCACCCTTTTTATTTCTTTGCTAATAAACTCATTCAAAGGATGAAAGATAAAGGTAGGGTAAACGAACGTCATTAAAAGTTGAATTAAGAAGTGTTGGTATTTGAAAAAAAAAATTGGACACGAATGACTTTTTTGACAGAAATAAAATCACGGCTCGTGTTTTAACGAAATGTTATTGAACTTGAGCATTTGAAAGCACATTTGCATGTCTGGCTGTAGCTGAACGTGTAGAGATGCTCGCTGTTAGTTGTTAGCTCCCAGCATGTTCGGGTTCGAATGCCATCAGAGGCAACATGTAATTTTTAATTTTTGTTTTTGGTTTTTATTAATTTCGAAAAAGCATCTGAGAAGTGAAGAATAAAAGCGTGTACAAACGAAAAAATATAACAACAATGCCATTGTTAATATGTTGGAGTAGTTTTGTGCTACTCTGATGTAATGCAGGGATGGAGTATATGGTCCTGCCCTAGGACATCGCAATGTTAATTGGATCATATTTTTTATATGAATTGTGGTTAATTTTGGAGTACTCCTTGGTCCTTAGTGAGTACTCTTTACACGTATGCATGGGGTAGTCGCGATTTTTGCAGGGTTACCGTTGGTATGAACTCCTTGTGTCATCAACAGCTTCTTTATCTTTTCATATTCGTATGTAAATATATACCCTGCATACCAGGATTTCAGAGAATTCTGAAAGGTTTCACAAATTTTTTAAGAACTTTCTTTAACAAATCGTACAAAAATTGTTTTGCTAGTTCTTGTCAAACGCTTCATATGTTTCTCTTTAAAGATTCCTAAAAGAATCGTAAAAAATTTCCGATACTCTTAAAGACTTCGGGAGCATTTGTTTTCAGGTTATATATTTACGTATATCATTCCATCGCTATCACCTGCAGTTGATACGTCTTGTACACCAACCGAAAAATTTAATTCGCCAAACACGCCGAGTTTACAGCACAAACATTTTTTAGAACAACCCTATTTTAGCAAGCCACCAAAGGGAAAGCAACTCTAAAATTTGCTGGAGTTGGCAACTCTACCAACGAATGAGGGGAAAGTACCATGGTAGAAAAATTATAAACAACTGATATTTTTGCACACTTTTGGCCATGTTAAAATAATTGATAGTGAAAAATATAAAGTCCTGTTGTTACCTTTAACTTCGCTTGTCGTAGGAGCAGATAATTTCTTAAAAATGGCCAATAGTTACGATATACCAAGTTGGTAAGCTACTCACAATTAAGATGTTTCACCTGTCGGATATAAGGCTTGATTTCCCTTTACAGGGCTGGTAAGCCACCCACCGGCTTGCATTTGGATGTCCTTAAAGATGATAAACTTGTGCAGAAACTTATGGTGGATGAAAAGCGTTGCTATCTCTTCGGGCGCAATAGTCAAATGAATGATTTTTGTATTGACCACGCCTCCTGTTCGCGAGTGCATTCAGCATTCGTGTATCATAAGCACTTGAACATCGCCTATTTGGTGGATTTGGGTTCAAGTAAGTTATACACATAATATATTAGTAAAATTACCTAAAGATTAATTATGCAAACGTGTTTCTCCTCAGCCCACGGTACATTTATTGGTACCTTGCGCTTGGAACCTCATAAACCGACACAGCTGCAAATTAATAGCACTTTTCATTTTGGGGCTTCCACGCGACGATATATTCTCAGGGAGCGGCCTTCCGCCGGGCAACGTAATAGCATTATGGAAGATCTGCCCCTGAGCGAAACCAGCGACGGTGCGTTACTGGGTTTGCCTGAAAGTCAAACCGAATTAGATGTAAGTTTTTAGTTACTATACATGAAATATAACTATTATTTGTAAAGACTTGTATTGTTTTAGAATCTCACCGAATACAATACTGCACATAACCGGCGTATTTCTATGTTGGGTATTGCAGACGACAATTTGAGAAAGGTGAGTGATGTTTATTCATAGTAACACATTTTTTGCCAAATTAAATAGTTTTTCTTTTACTGAAGCAAAATGCAGCAAAACATAGTGGTCGTAAACGCCGCAATGTTACGTTTAATGACGAAGAAATTATAATTAACCCAGAAGACGTAGACCCAACTGTCGGACGGTTCCGTAATTTGGTTCAAACAACTGTTGTACCGGCTAAACGTGCTCGTTTTGATTCTGGCGGTCAAATGGGAATTCAATCAACACCAAGCGGTGGGGCCATACTATCAAACGCTGCATTATCTTCAAGTGGTTCTACTGCTCATCAAATGTTCCAGCAAAGTTTAGCAGAACTTAAGCAACAAGTGAGCTCTGCACCACTCTCTCCTTCTTCCCTCTATCAAGGACTCCCTGCATCTGTACATGACTCCCATCCAAATCCTAGTTTGAAGTTTAACAGTAGTAGCACGGACTTTGATATAACGCCAATTGCAATGGGCACGAAATTGGGTTTGTTACTGCCAAATCCAGCTCCTGATGTAACACCCGTAGTTGCTGAACCGTCGCCAGTAAAGCCCTTGATGGGGGTAGGAGCCGCACAGAGATTAGGGCAGGCCAATGCAAATTGTGAGTTCCCATCCGAAAAAAATATATTTCAATTCTTATGCTCGTCTTTTATTATAGTGCGTTTCGATCCACATGGCGTTGCTGGCGCTTCTGCGTCAGAAAGCGGTGGACACGGGCCGCAAAAGAAGAAATATGCCAAAGAAGCATGGCCTGGACGAAAACCAATGTTGGGACAGCTTTAATTTATTTATAGCATGACTGTGCGGAAGTAAAATAAAATTAGATAAACTAAATAAAATTATTATAAGTTACGACAAGGCGAATTCATATATTACGTATACGTAATACTTTTATATTGGCAGTAAGCTAACTAAGCTAATAATGTGTAAGCATTCCGAAATCAAAGTGAGACAGTCTAGTACCGCTTTTGTGAATGTATTGTGTACGTGAGTGCCGTTTTTGTGTATGTGTTGTGTATATGTTTAATTATAAACGTACGTGTTCTTTTTTTTCGTACGTTTTTATTGATATATCTGTACTGTAATGTTTTCGGAGAGTACTAGCTCTTACTGCCAATGTAGGAGTATTACATATATGATATATTGTAATAATATTATATATATAAATTCGCCTTGAGTTATGTATGTATTTCACTATATCAATTATTTTTAGCCTCCTTCCAATTTCAATTAACATTTTTTATACCCGAGCGCACTTGTGCACAAGGGTATTATAACTTTGTTCACATAACAGTTGTTTGTAACAGGCAAAACGAATCGAGATAGATATAGACAAATGTATACATAAATGATCAGAATGAAAAGAGAAATCGATTAAGCGGTGACTGTCTGTACGTCCGTCCGTCCGTCTGTGCACACGATTACTCGAGTAAAAATTGAGATATCTTAACGAAACTTTGTATGTGCACTTCTTTCGGGCGTAGGACGGACGGTATTGAAAATGGGCAAAATCGGACAATAACCACGCCTACCTCCCATAAAACGGTAATTTTCAGGAATACGAAAACTGCGATATTTTAGTAACTACTGAAGATTATTCACTCTAAATTGATATTTTCAATAAGTTTTAGACGAAAAATAAGAATATTATAAAGTTTTGGAAAATGGGCGTAGCCACGCCCACTTATGGTTACATGTGTATATCTTGGTAACCGCTGCACCGATTTCTTCCAAGCTTGGCACAGTTGTTAACCTTGGTATAACATACGAAACGGCCGAAAATTTTTAAAATCGGACAATAACCACGCCCACATCCCATATAACGGTAATTTAGAGAAATGCGAAATCTTCGATAAATCAGTAATTATTGAAGCTAATTTATTCAAAATTTATGCTTGCAACAATTCTTTACCAAGAAATACGTTTAGGATAAAATTTTGAAAAATGGGCGTGGCACCGCCCACTTATGATCACATACATATATATGTATCTCGGTAACCGTTCTACCAATTTGTACCAATTCGGTGTGGTTATTGTGCTTGCCACATAGAAGCAAAACGTGAAAATTATTGAAATCGAACTAAAATTACGGCCGCTTTTCATATAACAGTAAATTTCAGAAATGTTTGAAACTTCAATATTTCGAAATTTAAGGACGCTAATTTACTCAAAATGGATACACCCCGGTTTACCATGTAGCGGTAGCTTTCGGAAAGGTGAAAAACATATATTTAATACTTGCGCCGGGTATTTAATGTTCGGCTCCGCCCGAACTTAGACTTTCTTACTTGTTACTTTTTAGATTATTCTCACTTTTTGCGTATTCTTTAATTTCCGTTAATTTAAATTCAGTTGAGTTGGACTCTTTTCAGGATTTTGCCAGAAAAAATTCTTCTGACTGAAGGAGTGTTCGCTATGCAACTGCCAGTAACAAAATTCAGAGAACAAGGTACCTTACTGCCATACCTAAACAAAAGCGTCAGCGTTGTCTGGCTGTCAAAAAATTCTCATGCCCATACAAATTCGTATGAAGCATACCGAAACAACGCGGCGTCAACGCTGAGCGGTTGGAAAATCCGATTTTTACAGGGCGTTAGGCATTGAAGTTGGCTGCAGAAAACGGCGAAACTGTCATTTTCGTGTTACTCACAAACAAACCTATGCTTATTGTTGGTGTTATTTCTGCATTTGACGTAGCGTTGACGCTTTTGTTTAGGTATGGCACTTCGGCGTTAATGCTAGGCGTCAGAAACCGCTCCGCCGGTATGTTGTTGCTTATGATCAGGCATGGGCAGAGAGTTAGCAGGTGCTAAAAGAGCGTAAGCGTTGCGTGTACGTATACAAGCGAGAGCGCATCGATGAGAACACGACAGCATGCAAAATGAATTAGGTACACTAACACATGCTCACTTTTAGCTCACGCTTGTTTGTGGTAGTGCCCACCTCTGCTTATGATTGTCACTGCGCCATGATTTTGTTTAAATTTTGTAAAATTGCTTAGCACACTTACGATTGCTATAAATTTTGCTTCCATTTTTTTTAAGATCTTCTAATTTGAAGTCTTCAAACTAAAAACAAAAGCACCAAAATCGCATTAAGCACAAAACCCAAAAATTTTCGCGTTTTGAATACCCACTAAATTTGTTGCGAAAAGCATCAAGTTGGCAACAGTGAATGTAAACAAAAGTATACTATGACGTCAGCGATTGTGTGGATGCTGTCAAATCGACGAAGAGAGGGTTAGCGGTACGCGAATGGCGCGACCTTTATTTTCTGGATCGTGGTAGAGAATGACCAAGAATGATTGAATACAAGATTGCGCATACTTGTGTTTTCGTCCATGTAAAATCTGTCAAACGAAAACCAGTTTTCGCTGAAAACTACTTGAAAACTCACGTTCCACTGTTGTTGTTGTTGTTGTAGCAGGATACAAATTCCCCAAAGACTTTTTGGGGAGTGTTGCTGGAGTGACAGTCCTTGGCCAGATATAAATCTGGGTCGTTCCGGTTACGTAGACCCGACTGTCGTGGGAACGTTCCACTCATTCCAATCGGTGTCTTCACTAAAGCAAAAGTGAAATCATGATTCAATAATACAAGGTTCGATAAACTGACAGTTGTCTCTCTCGCACCGCTCCCTTAGCAGTGGCACCGTGTTGCTTCTTTGCACATTTACATGGAAACAGTGTAGCTTTGGTGTGATATAGAAGTATGAGCGTTTGTGCAATATGTTTATTTGTATATGCATATGAAGCATATTTAACTGATGAAAACATAAACTGTTTTTAAATGGGATGTTTACATCAATCTCATAGTAGTCTTATTTTAATTTTGAGTCATTTTGCATTTTTTATACAGCTAAATAGCACATAAATTACGTAATTTACATAGATACATCAATATTACGTTCAAAATTTCGTTTAAAATGCCAGATTTCCTGCAAAAACATAATTTACAAAAGGAATTTCACTACTAATTGCCTACTTTGCGTACTTTTCTACTACCATTTTCGCACCAAGAGATTTCATTCCTCCCCTTTTCTCCGTCCTTCGTAAATGCAACCTTTTGTAAGGGAGTGTCAAACCGTAGCTGTCAATAATTATCTTAAACTATGTTCACATATCAATATTATCTCAATCAAAGCTCGTTTTTTAATCACCCCGTTTACACAGGCAAATCTCAGATTATTAGCCGTCAAATTTGATGTGCTTGTTATTCTCACATCTCAAGGAAAAGTTATATTTCTTCTCTGTGCAACCGTGATCAAGTTTTTCTGCTATATTAAGCAATATAAATATATTTTAACTTAACATTTTATTTAAAAAAATACCTTTAAAACCCTCCTTTCCTTGCTAGCGTCCATTTTTGTTTACTTTTACATTTGCCATTTCTCCTCTTCTTCGCAAAAACAATCGATAAAACTAGGATGGACACCGAAAAGTTATCGGTTAAATCTGAGATTATTTTCTAATTACAGATTAACAAGGGAGGAATTTTATATGGCTAATCTCTTTTTCTAATTACAGATTAGGAAGTTAAGCTCGAAAATGAGGATAATCTACTTATATGTGAACCTAGTATAACCTTGTATTATTGAATCATGAAGTGAAATAAGAATGAAAGTAAGAGGTTGCTAATGAAAAGAAAATTAGGGAAAAACATTTTGGTTTTGTTTTCGTGTAGCAAAACTGTAATCAGAGGATGTAAGAAATGTCAACGAAAACACTAACAGCCGATGTGAACAGTCTTCAGCCCACAATCCCAAAACACGTTTTCAAAGTGTTTTCGTTGTCGGCCAGAACATGGTATTAAGTTGGTCAACTTGCTTTTCAATTTCGGGCAAAAATAATCGATTAATCACTACCATTTCTAAAAAGTTAACACAAAAGCAGGAATTTTCTTTATTCTCTATATTCTGTTAAAAATATACATATAGATAATTACGTTGTCATAATGTATACTGTGCCTGTGATACCACCCGATCTACGTCACGAGGAAACTATAATCCAAGCAGCCATAGCTCTGGATTGTCTACAAAAAACAATAAATTCTGTCTTTGACCACATTGACAATCGCACCCAGCGGAATAATGCGAAAGTGCAAGAGTTGAGCACACGTATTGAGCGGGCACAGGGGAAAATACGCAGTTTGGTTGGTACAAAAAAGGCAATTAAAATTTACTCACCAGCTCGTTTTCCATCGTCGCAAATTTTCCAAGACATCCCACAAACTTTTGGTAATACAGACACAATGCTGGAACTACATTTACAACAGCAGCAACAAAAACAAAATGTGGATTATGAAGTCCATAGTCGCGCAGATGCACCACCGTCTCAAGCATTGCAAGAAAAATTGGTATTCTTTCATGTTCGTTACAAGGACGTTGAAGCGCCTCAACATGGTCATACTGTTGCCGCAAGTAAAGCGCATGTAAACAGAACCATTGGTATGGGTGCGGTGCCGGAAAAATTACGTTCAACATCTTCGCTACTGCATTGCAACAGCGGCGAAGTAGTTTACGGTTGCGAAAGTGCTGAGAAAGATTCGTGGAAAAAAGCCAAATTCTTTAAATCAACACGTCAACGTCAAAACGACAACACGGAGCAAAAGCAACTCTTGGAACCAGCTCCTCACTCGTTAGCTCACCGCAATCAAAAAGTAAACTCTTTCGGAGGTTTGCGCTACACACCGCGATTGTATGAAGCGCCGGAGATAGATCTGCCACTGGATTTGCCTGATTTGCCCGGCATTGCTGATGATATACATTTCGAGGGCAAAGATCAGCAACAAATAGCGCCTTCGTTATACATTGAGAATCTGCCCGATTTGCCTGAATTGGAAGAGTCAAACTGTAAACTAGGAAACATCTCACAATCAATCGAAGTACGGGGAACACACCAACTAATGCCACCAATTCCGCCAGCAGCACTCGCGGACGTTAAGCAATCTAGCAGTGTGGTAGACTCAACTATAGTAGTAGCAACAGCAACAACTCCACCACCACCTCCTCCACCACCGCCACCGCCACCGCCACTACCACCGTTAC